TTTCCAAGGACCACACAATGGATCTGTGCTGTCTTCAGTGTAAGTTGATTCCCCAGCAATGTCTCTCACCAGGTACCAGGAGCCCCTAAGCTAGTGGCATCTCCCACTGATACTGCTCAAAATCCCAGCCACACCACGAGCTCTCCCCGACACACTCAGTTTTGTTCACAGTCCTGGCTCAGAAGCTTCACATAGTCACAAGCTCCTAGCCCCCTGTTATTTCTCCCCACCACAGTCAGGAGTCTCTGCCCACCTGATTGCCAGGCACAGCACCAGCCTGCACATCTGTTACATATATCCAAAATGGCACCCACTCTATCAGCTAGTCAGAGTACACCTTTAAAGAGTGATTGGAGAGAGAGAAACATGTCTGTCCTGTCCTTTTTGTTTTTTCCTCTTGTTTGGCTGGTACACTTTTCCTCATGGGGCTTCAAGCCTAATTCCCTCTAGGCTTTTCCTGCCACTTTTTTGCCAGTGACTTGGGCTGCTGCAGTCTGCTCTCATCTCACTTTCCAGCACTGGTTTGTAGGCTCTCAGCTGTTGGAGTCCCAAGCTGTGTGTGCCCACACCTTATGTGAATGTTTACCATATCTCATTAATTTTAGTAGTGTTTTCTCTGTTATTTTTCCCTAAATCTTCCCTAGACTACACTATCTCCACTTCTTTTTAACTATATCTCCTGTACTTGAGCAGTAAGCTCCCTCCCTACTCTGCCATTGAAACTTTGCTGAACAATACACTCCTAAATGAACAGTGGGTGAAAAAAGAAATCAGAAATAAAAAAAAATTCTGGAAACAAATGAAGATGACAGTACCTCATGTCAAAGCTTATGTGATTCAGCAAAAGCAGTGTTAAGAGGGAAGTTTATAATGATCAATGCATACATCAAAAAACTGGAAAGTCACCAAATAAATGAGTTGTCAATGCATCTCAAGGACCTTAGGAAAAAAAAAAAACTTGACCCAAATTAGTAGGAGGAAAGAAATAATTAAAATTAAGGAAAAAATCTAAAAGAAATTGAAACAAAAAAAAATACAAAAAGTCAATGAAATGAAGAGCTGTTTTTTTTTTTTTAAATAAGCCATTGACCCAACAAACCAAAAAAGAGGGAGAAGACCCAAATCAACAAAATCAGAGGTGCAAAAGAAAATGTAACAGATACCACAGGAATAAAAATAATCATCAGGAATTCTTATAAAGAACTGTATGTGAACAAATCAGGAAACCTAGAAGAAATGGATAAATTCCTTGGCACAGCTGAACCATGAAGACAAGGAACATCTAAACAGACCAATAACCCAAATGTGGTTTACCGAGTAATAAAGACACTTTAACAAAGAAAATCCCAGGTCGCAACAGCTTCACTACTGAATTCTACCAGACATTTAAAGAAGAACTAATCCCAATTCTTCTCATGCTATTCAAAAGAGGGCATCCTCTCAAACTGCTTCAATGAAGCTTGCATCACCTTAGTACCTGAGCCAGAAAAAGACATGACAGAAAAGGACAACTATAGACCAATATCCCTGGTGAAAATCCTCAACAAAATACTGGCAGATTGAATCCAACAGCACATAAGAAAGATCATTCACCTAAACCAAGTGGGATTTATCCCTAGTATGCAGGATGCTTCAACATCTGAAAATCAACAAATGTGATAAGCCACATTAGCAAACTGAAGATCAAAACCTGCATGATTATGTCAATAGATGTAGCAAAAGCTTTTGACAAAATTAGACAATCTTTTGGGTCGGCGCCGTGGCTCAATAGGCTAATCCTCTGCCTTCTGCACCAGCACACCGGGTTCTAGTTCTGGTTGGGGAGCCGGATTCTGTCCCGTCTGTCCCTCTTCCAGTCCAGCTCTATGCTGTGGCCTGGGAGTGCAGTGGAGGATGGCCCAAGTCCTTGGGCCCTGCACCAACATGGGAGACCAGGAGAAACACCTGGCTCCTGGCTTCGGATCAGCATGGTGTGCCAGCTGCAGCCCACCTTCTGCAGCGGCCATTGGAGGGTGAACCAATGGAAAAGGAAGACCTTTCTCTCTGTCTCTCTCTCACTGTCCACTCTGCCTGTCAAAAAAATTAAAAAACACACTCTTTGATGTTGAAAATCTTATGCAAATAGGGTATAAAAGAATATTGCTCAACATAATCTAAGTATTTATACAAACGCACAGCATTCAACCTCCTGGATGGGGAAAATTGGAGGTATTCCAATTAAGATCTGGAACCTGAAAAGGAAGCCTAGTCTAATGATTGCTATGAAATATCTTCCTGGAAGTTTTAGCTAGAGCCATCAGGCAGGAATAAAAGAAATCAAAGGTATACAAATATGGAAAGAAGAAGTCAAGCTATCCCTGTTTACTGATGACATGATTCTATATTAGGGAAGCCAAAAGACTCCATGAAGACACTATTGGAAGTTATATAAGAATTTGGTAGTAGCTGGAGTTAAAATAAACACACAAAAGCCGATACCCTTTGTATACACAGACAATACCATAGCTGACAAAGAATTTCTAAGATCAATCTCATTCACAATGTCTACAAAACACTTACATACCTTGGGATAAATTTAATCAAGGACGCCAAGGATCTCTACAATGAAAATTACAAAACATTTAAGAAAGAAATAGAAGAAGACATAATGAAGTGGAAAAATAATCTTCCAGGTTATGTAGTGGAAGAAGCAACATCTTCAATGAGACCCTGAATAGCTAAAGCAATCTTGAACAACAAATACAAAGCTTGAGGCATCATAATACCAAACCTAAGACATACTACAGGGCAGTTATAATTAAAAGAACCTGTACTGCCTTAAAAATAGCCTTGTACAACAAAGGAGCATAATTGAAATCATAGTAAAAAAAAAAAAAGATACACATCTACAATCAACTTATCTTTGACAAAGGAGCAAAAATAAACTTCTGGAGCCAAGACAGTCTCTTCAAAAAATGCTGCTGGGAAAATTGGTTCTCTACATGGAGAAGTATGAAGTAAGACTGCTGCCTTACACCTTATGCAAAAAATCCACTCAAAATGAACCAGAGACCTAAATAGAGAAAATCGGGGAAGCCATACAAAACACTGACATAGGGAAATAATTCTTAGAAGTCTTCTAGAAGAGGTAACCAACAGAATGGGAGAAAATATTTAAAAACAATGCAACTGACCAAGGATTAACTTCCATATTCTATAAAGAGCATGAGAAACTCTACAACTACAAAAAAATCCAAATAAGAAAATGGCAAAGGACCTGAACATATATTGTTCAAGAGAGGAAATTTAAATGTCCTATAGACACACAGAAAAATGCTCAGTATCACTAGGCTTCAGGGAAATGTGAATCAAAAGCACAATGAGGTTTCACCTCACCTCTGTTAGAATGGCTTACATACAGAAATCAACAAGCAACAAATGCTGGCAAGGATGTGGGGAGAAGGGTACCTTAATCCACTATTAGTAGGAATGTAAAGTGTTAAAGCCACTGTGGACTACAGTATGGAGATATCTCAAAAAGCTGAATATAGTGCTACCATATGACCCAGCCATCTCAGCCCTGGATATTTATCCATGGGAAGTGAAACCATAATTCTGAATAGTTATGTGTATCCCCATCAATTGTAGATAAAACAAATTATGGTATATACCCTATGGAATAATGCACTCTGGTAATAGAAATGAAAACTTGTTGTTTACAGCCAAATAGATATAAATGGAAACCATTTTACTTATGAAATAAGCCAGTCAGAAAAGGACACATACCATATTGTCTCTCTGATCTATGGTAAGTAATAGAGTACTTCAGATGTAATCTATAGGAGTGAAACTGAAACTTTGAGATGTATTGATTTTGAACAGCCCTTGCCTTGACTGTTGTGGAACAATGTTGTTTTCTTGTTTGTTTTTGTTCTTTACTTCTTTTATTCTTCATAGTAATCATTTAACTCTCTACTTAGTGTAGGGCTAATCTTATGCGTGTAAAAATTAACTTAAAATTAATCTCTGTAAAAATAAGAATGGGAAAGGAAAAGGGAGGAGGAAGAAATGTGAAAGTATGGGTGGGAGGGATGTTGGGAGGAAAGAAGCATCACATTCTCAAATCTGTATATATTAAATGCAAGATGTTATATTCCTTGAACAACATTTTAAAAATTAAGAAATTCAATGGTGATATCATAAATTACTTAGTAATATTATTAAAAGAACACTGAAAATTCCAGCAATGACTATTGCTAAGAATGCAGGTGTTGAAGGATCCTTGATTGTTGAGAAAATTCTGCAAAGCTCCCCAGAAATTGGTTATGATGCTATGCTTGGGGATTTTGTGAATATGGTAGAAAAAGGAATCATTGATCCAACAAAGGTTGTAAGAACTGCTTTACTGGATGCTGCTGGAGTGGCCTCTCTGTTAACTACAGCAGAAGTTGTAGTCACAGAAATTCCTAAAGAAGAGAAGGACCCTGGAATGGGCGCGATGGGCGGAATGGGAGGTGGTATGGGAGGTGGTATGTTCTAATTCTTAGAATAATGCTTTACCATTATTAATGAACTGTGACAGGAAGCTCAAGGCAATGTTCCTCATCAAGAACTTCAGAGAAGTCAGTTGAAGAAAACGGAGAAAAGGCTTGCTGAAGAAAATCACTATAAGCATCAGTTACTGGTTTCAGTTGACAATATATAATGGTTTACTGCTGTCATTGTCCATGCCTACAGATAATTTATTTTGTACTTTTGAATAAATAAAAAAGACATTTGTACATTCCTGATACTGGGTGCAAGAGCCATGTACCAGTGTACTGCTTTCAACTTAAATCACTGAGGCATTTTTACTACTATTCTGTTAAAAAATCAGGATTTTAGTGCTTGCCATCACCAGATGAGAAGTTAAGAAGCAGCCTTTCTGTGGAGAATAATTGTATACAAAGTAGAGAAATACCCAATGATGTGACACCTTTGTGTAATAAAAATGTGTTTAAAGTTAAAAAAAAAAATGCTGCTGGGAAAATTGGTTCTCTACATGGAGAAGTATGAAGTAAGACTGCTGCCTTACACCTTATGCAAAAAATCCACTCAAAATGAACCAGAGACCTAAATAGAGAAAATCGGGGAAGCCATACAAAACACTGACATAGGGAAATAATTCTTAGAAGTCTTCTAGAAAAGGTAACCAACAGAATGGGAGAAAATATTTAAAAACAATGCAACTGACCAAGGATTAACTTCCATATTCTATAAAGAGCACGAGAAACTCTACAACTACAAAAAAATCCAAATAAGAAAATGGCAAAGGACCTGAACATATATTGTTCAAGAGAGGAAATTTAAATGTCCTATAGACACACAGAAAAATGCTCAGTATCACTAGGCTTCAGGGAAATGTGAATCAAAAGCACAATGAGGTTTCACCTCACCTCTGTTAGAATGGCTTACATACAGAAATCAACAAGCAACAAATGCTGGCAAGGATGTGGGGAGAAGGGTACCTTAATCCACTATTAGTAGGAATGTAAAGTGTTAAAGCCACTGTGGACTACAGTATGGAGATATCTCAGAAAGCTGAATATAGTGCTACCATATGACCCAGCCATCTCAGCCCTGGATATTTATCCATGGGAAGTGAAACCATAATTCTGAATAGTTATGTGTATCCCCATCAATTGTAGATAAAACAAATTATGGTATATACCCTATGGAATAATGCACTCTGGTAATAGAAATGAAAACTTGTTGTTTGCAGCCAAATAGATATAAATGGAAACCATTTTACTTACGAAATAAGCCAGTCAGAAAAGGACACATACCATATTGTCTCTCTGATCTATGGTAAGTAATAGAGTACTTCAGATGTAATCTATAGGAGTGAAACTGAAACTTTGAGATGTATTGATTTTGAACAGCCCTTGCCTTGACTGTTGTGGAACAATGTTGTTTTCTTGTTTGTTTTTGTTCTTTACTTCTTTTATTCTTCATAGTAATCATTTAACTCTCTACTTAGTGTAGGGCTAATCTTATGAGTGTAAAAATTAACTTAAAATTAATCTCTGTAAAAATAAGAATAGGAAAGGAAACGGGAGGAGGAAGAAATGTGAAAGTATGGGTGGGAGGGATGTTGGGAGGAAAGAAGCATCACATTCCCAAATCTGTATATATTAAATGCAAGATGTTATATTCCTTGAACAACATTTTAAAAATTAAGAAATTCAATGGTGATATCATAAATTACTTGTAAATCCATAAATATTGTGATATCATAAATTCTGTGTGATGTTGTAATCAACTGGGATATGATAAACCACCATCATAAACTTATCATTCTGATGTCAAAATTCATTCTGAATTTACAAAAACATTGTGACATTTTAAATCTATCATTATGAAGTCATAATGAAGTGTAATGTCATGAACCACATTGTGACATCATACTAGTTGTGGTATCTTAAAAACCATTGTTACCTCAGGGGAGGGATGCGGGTGGGAGAGATGTTATGGGGGGGAAGCCATTGTAATCCATAAGCCGTACTTTGGAAATTATATTCATTAAATAAAAGTTAAAAAAATCAATTAACAAGTCATAAATTCATTGCAGTGTCATAAATTCACAATTGTGACATTTAATTGCGATGCCATAACTCATTGTTGTGATGCCATAAATGACCATTGTGATGTTATAATCAGCTCTGATGGTATAAGCTACTGCTATGAAGTTATAATCATCATGAGATCATAAAAGCCATAGTGATAATCATATTCCAATGTTGTGATGTCATTAATACACATTTTGATGTTATAAACCAATTATTGTGTTGCCATAATGCATTTTAAATAATATTGTGATGATATAATAAGACACTGTTCTTTTATAGACCTATATCATCATGTAATAATTGTGATCTGGTAAAAAGCCTTGGGATGTCATAATCTATGGGGATGGGATAAAACAGCATTGTTATGCGATGTAATAATCAATTGTGAACTCATAAAAACCTCTGTGAGATCATAAACCACAACTATAATATCATAATTGATTGTGAATTCACAAACCACTATTATGATGCAAAATCAATTATTATATGAAAAAATCATGTCCTATACCAATAATCTGATGCCATGAAAGTAGCATAATAATGTCATAAGTTAACCATTGTGCTATCATAATAAATTATGGAATCACACTATTGTGTCAACATAAATCAGTCATTCTGATATCATGATCAACTGTGATACAGAACTCCATTGTGCTGTCCTAAAACAGCCATTCTGATGTTATAATGAATTGTGACATCACAAAAACCATTGAGAGGTCAAAATCAATTGTGATTACAAAATAAAATTGTGTGTCATAACCTACCATTTGAAAAGGTTTATTTATTTACTTATTTATTTGAAAGGCAAAGTTAGAGAGACAGAGAAAGAGAAATCCACCATCTACTGGTTCTCTCCCCAAATGGCCACAAAACTGGGTCTATGCCAGGCTAAAGCCAGAAGCAAGGAAATTCTTTCAGGTCTCTCACATAGTTGCAGGGGCCCAAGGACTTCAGCCTTTATCCACTGATTCTCCTTGCACAATAGCAGGGACCTGGATTGGAACTGGAGCATCCAGGACTCAAACCAGTGCCCATATGGGATGTCAGAACTGCAGGAAGTGGAATAACTTGCTGCACTGCAGCACTGGTCCCAAACTACCAGTGTTATGTCCAAAAAACCTTGTGTTGTCATAAAGAAGTGGATGTCATAAGCAACTCCTGTGATATCATAAACATTGTGACATAAAACTATAAACTATATTGTGTCATAAATCCATATGACATCCATTTTGATGTCATCAACCAAGTGTAGGATGATATAAAAATCACTGTGAAGTTATATGGCATTGTAAGTGTCATAATCAATTATATCATAAAAACCATTGTGAAATCATAAATCTACCATTGTGATGTAATAATAAACTGGGGTGTCATAAAGCATTATTATGTCATAATTGTGACTTCAATAATTCATCACAATAATTCAATTGCGATGTCATATGCCAAATTTTTGATGTCATAAATCTATGATTGTGATATCATATTTAATTTTCACAGCCAGTATTTAAGCCACACAGTCTACTATTTCTGTTATATATGTACGATTTTGATGCAACAATCATAAACTTATTAAAATTGTGATGCATAGATATACATATTGTGATATTATCAAGTAATAAATTACCATCATCATGTCATAGTGCATTTGATGTCATAATACCATTGCTTAATCAATTGTGATTTCATGAACCAGCATTATGATTTTAAAATGAATTGAGCAATCATAAAAATAATAAGTCAAAAATCTAGTGCAGGGTCATAAAAATCCATTGCAACGTCATAAAGCTACAACTGTTATGTAATCAATTGTAATATAAAAATCTTTGTGACATAATCAGTCCTGATGTGGTAAACCACCATTGTCACATCATAAACCTAACAGTAATATACCATTTATGAAATTATAAAACATTTTGACATCATAATCCAATTGTGATGCCATAATCAGTTAAGTTTAAAAACTTGTGATGTCAAAAAGCAATAATGTACATTATGACACTTTGATAATGTGCAAAAACACTGTACTATCAGAAACCTACGATTTATGTTACAGTAAATTGTGAAGCCATCAAAACTTCTGGCTTCATACACATAACATTGTGATGTCATAATCGATTGTAATGCCATATGCTACCACTGTCTTATCATAAACCATCATGGCAATGTTCCAATGGATAGTGATGTCATAAATCACCATTATGATTTAAATTGTGATCTCATAAAGCCACTGTGATTTCATAAAGCCATATTTGATGCCATACACAAACAACTGTGATGTCATAATCCAACTGTTGTGATGTCATGATTAATTGTAAAGTTTTAAATCTATTGTGACATCATACACCTATCATTGTGCCATCAGACATACTGTTCTGATATCCTAATTGTAGTATCACAAAATGAATTTAAAATGAGTAGCTATTTTGAAGGCATTACGAGCATAAATTACTGTAATGTCATAATCAATTGTGATGTATTAAACACCCAAGTGAGGTCAATATAAATTTTGTGATATGAGGTCAATATCATATATTATGATTCGCAAAAACCATCGTGATGTCATAAATCCATATTGTGATGCTGTAACCCCACAATGTTATATCATAACCCAACCATAATCCACTCTGATTTCATAAACCTACCATTGTAATGTCACAATCATGATGTCATAAGCCACCATTTTTTTTTTTGACAGGCAGAGTGGACAGTGAGAGAGACAGAGAGAAAGGTCTTCCTTTTGCCGTTGGTTCACCCTCCAATGGCCGCCGCAGCCGGCGCACTGCTGCCGGCGCACCGCGCTGATCCGATGGCAGGAGCCAGGAGCCAGGTGCTTCTACTGGTCTCCCATGGGGTGCAGGGCCCAAGCACTTGGGCCATCCTCCACTGCACTCCCTGGCCACAGCAGAGAGCTGGCCTGGAAGAGGGGCAACCGGGACAGAATCCGGCACCCCAACCGGGACTAGAACCCGGTGTGCCGGCGCCGCTAGGCGGAGGATTAGCCTAGTGAGCTGCGGCGCCGGCATAAGCCACCATTTTGATGTAAAAAGCCATTGTGATGTTTTAAGCCTTCTAGTGTGATATCAAAAACCAACCATTGAGTTTCCATAGTCAATTGTGATGTCATAAAATGACCATAGAACCACCATTATGATGTCATAAACCAACTACTGTGATGTCATATGTAAACTAGCATAGACATTATTTTAATATTATACTCAATTCTGATGTCATAAAATGAATTTTGAAGTGAAAATATTGTGATGTCATAAAGTTACCATTGTTATAATCAATTGTGATTGTTGAAAAAAACCTCATGATTTCTTAATCAACTGGGACAAATTCATTATCAATTGTTATGTCATAGGATATCATTATGATGTTATCATAAATTGTGATGTCACAGAAACCATAAAAACCATCATGCTGTTATAAAGCTACCATTGTTGTGTCACAATTAATTGTAATTTTGTAAACCTTGTAATGTTATAATTAATAATCCACCATTGTGATGTACTAAACCTACCATTTAATGTCACAATCAACTGTGAAGTTATAAAACAATTGTAATATCAGAAGTTGAATTTTATGACATCATAATCAATTGAACTGTCATAAAATACCATTATAATTAATTGTGATATAAAATCTATTATGATGTCATAAACCGGTATTTTACATAAAAATCTATGGTCATGTTACAAAGCTACCATTATTTTGTCATAATCAATTGTGATGTAACAAAAATCATGTCATAATCAACTCAAACATTATAAGCCACCATTATTATATCATAAACCTATAACTGTGAGTCATAAATAATTCTGAACCATTGTGAGGTAAACCTACCATTTTGAAATACTAATGAATTGTGATGTCATAACCACTATTGTTATTTCATAGACTATTATATGTGATATCATATTCCATACAAAGCCAGTGTAACTTATAAACCAACTGCTCTGATGTCATAATCAATTATGAAGTGTCATGATCAAATGTAATTTCATAAACTACCATTGTGATATCATGAACACTGTGATGCCATGAATGTTGTGATATCATAAATCATCACAGTGTTGTAATAATTGTGAGGTTATGAAAATAATTGTCATATACCCAAATCCTGATGCTATAAATGCACCATTTTTGTCATTAAACAACCATTACATTGCCATAATTAATTTTGAAGTCCTAAAAAGTTTTGACTAATCATGTTATACCACCATGTTGTCATAAATCCATATTGAACTATCATACTCAATGTTGAAGTGATAAAACAATTGTGATTAGCTAGCCATTGTGTTGTTATCATCACTACAGATGACATAAACCATCATTGTGATGCCATTAGCTTCCATTGTGACATAATAAAACTGCCACTGTGATGTCATAATACATGCTGGCCAACACGGCTGCCCCCTCCTGCCCTGCACCCCTTGCCCTTGCTCCCCACCAGACCTGTAACCGGGTGGGTCTGAGCAGGAACCTTACGTGAATGCCTTCCATGGACATCCAGCCCTGTGGCCTAAAGGGCTTCCAGGGCAGACTTACTCCCCACAAAACTTGAAGCTGGGTAAGCTGCGGCTACACATTCCACAAAGGGCTGGCACTTAACACCCATCACCTGGAAGGCTGTTGACCAACTCACACAGGGTGCCCTCCCATCTTCCGGCGGTGTCATGATTTGGAGTGTCCATTCTTGCCCAGGACCTGGTGAGAGGTAAAAAGACCTTTTTTCACTGTCACCCAATAGTCCATGGTGATGGCATAAAAACTCATTATGATGTAATCAACTGGGAGTAATAAACCATTGTTGTTGTATCAGAAACCAACCAATGTGGTGTAATAATCAATTGTGGGTCACAAGAACCACTGTGATGTCATAAATAACCATTTTGCAGTATCATAATCAATTGTAATGCCATAAACCTTTATGATGTCATAAACCTACTCTTCTGATTTCATATAAATTGTGGTGTCATAAACTATGATGTTATAGAAAATTTAAAATATTGTGGCAATATAAAGCTTCCATTGTGATATTATGATCAATTGTGATGTCATGAAAACTTTGTGATATTATAAAGTTGCCATTGACATGTCATAATTAATTGTGATATCATTAAAGCACTGTGATACTATAAAATTACCATTGACATGTCACAATACATCATGATGTAAAAGTTCTTGTGATTACATAATCAACTGGGATGTGATAATTCACCATTGTTATATCATAAAGCTAACATTGTGATATAAAAATTCTGATGTGGTAAACCACCATTGTGATGTCATAATAAATTGTGATGTAGTGAAAAACATTGTGATACCATAAACCAATATTATAAACCAAAAATTGTCATATCATAAACTAAATTGTGATGTCATGACCAACTGTGAAGTCATAAAAATTATTGTCATGCCATAAACTTGTAAAAATCAGTTGTAAAGTTATAAACCATTATCATTTTATAATCAATTGTGATGTCATCAAAAGCATTATGATGACATATGCCAATATTGTGATAACATATACATGAAATTGTGATTTCTCAAACCAACCATTGTATTCTCACTATGAACTTTTTTCATGAAAACCATTGTGACATCAGAAACCTATCATTGTGTCTCATAATCAATAGCAATATCACAATATGTCCTAAACTATCATTGTTGTGTCATAATTCATTGTGATATTGCCAAAACCATTGTGATGTCATTATCAATTGGGATGTGAAAAGCTTCCCTGTGATATCATAAACCTCAGGATAATTTACTATGTTACCAGGAGAGGAATGTCATTTTTGGGTAATTGTAAATATATGTTTTATGAACCATAGAAAAAGTTATGTATCAGAAAACTTGAGTGTAAATGGTACATAAAATAGCATACAATTTTGAAGACTTTGGGTATTCTGTATCTTTCAATCAAAACCTGTAGTGATTTTTTCATAGAAAGAACACATGTTAGTTACCATAGAACATGTAAAACATATAAGTTTTTTTCTTTTGGAGACTGTCTTATTTCACAAAATATAATGGTTTCCAGTTGCATACATTTTGTTGTGAAAGACAGGATTTCAGTTTTTCTTGCTGAGTAATATTCCATAGTATACACATACCACATTTTCTTTATGCAATCATCAAATGATGGGCATCTGGGCTGATTCCATATCTTAGTTATTGTAAATTGAACTGCAATAAATCTGGGATACAAGTAACTCTTTCATATGCTGATTTCATTTTGTTTGGATATTTTCCCAGGAGTGACATGACTGGATCATATGGTAGATCTATTTTCAGCTTTCTGAGGAATTTTCTTACTGTATTCCACAATGGCTGTTCTAGTTTACATTTCCACCAACACTGGACTCGCTAATATTTCCTCCACATGCTCACCAGTATTTATTGATTTGTAATTTCTTTCTTGCTAATAATAACTTAAATTTGGGGCAGTCTAGGACTCATTTTCCTTTTCAATACACCAAAAGAATTGGGGTTCTAAGGAAAAAATAAGTTCATACATGAAGAAGTTGGAAACAAAACAAAATATAGGAGGTGTATTAGTGTCATCTAAACTCAACCATGGAAGAATTGACAGTATTCTACCAAAGTTTCTGGAGGCTTTTAACTTTGATGAATAGATTTTCCTTTCCCTTATATAGCAAGTATTTTTCCTTCTTTCATAAAACCGATAGTGACATTTCTTAAAAATAAAAGAAATTGATGAAGTAATTCTGTAAAATTTATTAATGTTAAGTAACCTACCAGAATTTATTTATACACACAGAGAAAATAAGCACTTTTAATATTGCCATATTGTTCATGATTGTACAGAAACTGATATATTGTGCAATCTGTGTGGGAGCAAACTGTTGAAATCCTTACTTAATGTATACTAAGCTGATCTTCTGTATATTAAGATAATCGAAAATGAATCTTGATGTGAATGGAAGGGGAGAGGGAGTGGGAAAGGGGAGGGTTGTGGGTGGGAGGGACCGTATGGGGGGGAAGCCATTGTAATCCATTATTCGTACTTTGGAAACTTATATTCATTAAATAAATTAAAAAAAAATAAAAAAAAGAAAACAAAAAAATAAATAAAAAAAGGAAAGGATGATTGTAAAGGAAAAAAAAAAGATTCTGGATTTACTTATAATCCATCCCAGTCACTATATATGAAATGTTCTGCTTTGCTAAATACTCACTGAGAATGTTTTACTTACATAGCATGTAGCTTCCTGAAGCCCTCCACTTTTCTTCTTACTCCAAGTCCCAATCAATGTAGAAACATAGCTGTGGAATTATTCTTTTGCTGTGTTCTTGGAAGAACAAGGAGGCAATAAGGAAAGACAGCTGTACAGCAAAGGCCAAGAATATCCAAGGGAGGTCAGGAAAGTCAGCTGAGTTTACCAATATCTATGCTGCATGCTCTGTCCTTTTATATATTTTTATTTTCTTGCACAAAAAGAGATCAGGGCTACTGCTGTCTTTTGATAATGAACGAGATACACAGTGCTGAAGAAAAGTGACTTCTAAGACACCAGAGCTGACACAGATTCCCAGCATACGCAAATGACAAAAAATGTATGAACTTGCTTCCTGTTTCCTGAAATAGCAATGAAGTAGAACAAATAGGAAATTAGAAAATAAAAAAATAGAAATCTCATGCCAGATTAAGGAAATTTGAACTTCTTTTTTCTAGAAGGAACAATTAAATATATATAAATGGAGGAAGACAGAATTGTTTTTTCAGAAGTCAGAAGGGAGAAAGCACATTGAACACTACTGTGACACCACCCAGAAAAAATGAAAAACTGTTATTTCAACTGGCACAGTAACAGTGAGAATAAAAAGATGGGGGAAATAAGACCAACAGAGTTAAGATGCACCAGTTGTGACAGCGGACAGAATTTGAGTGTAAAGAAAAGGTATGTGATTAACAGAAACATTGAATAGAGAAATTTCTAAACATTTGGGAAAAATAATTTTCTGTATAAAAACAATGAGAAGACTTTCAAAAACTGTAAGTATCCACATCTTCAGATCTGTACATTTTATAGATACTTGCAATAACCTTGGAAGTTTTACTCAGAAAAGTGGCTGAATTTCAGTAAAAGAAGTGAGATTGGGGACTTGGAATAGTTTTCAATTCAAGTCTTCCACTCCCTTCCTCCAAAGTATAAGTTTGGATTTCCCTAAACCAAAACCCCAAACCAAAAATCTCCAAAGTCCAAAACTTCCTCAGTGCTCACCACAAGAGGAAAATCCTACACCTGACCTCATGGAAGTTATTATGGTCAAAATGTTTGCACACTGGGGCCTGTGCTGTGGTGCAGTGGGTTAAGGCTTCAGGCTGCAGAGCTGGCATCCTATATGGGCACGGGTTTGAGTCCCTGCTGCCCCACTTCTGATCCAGCTGCCTGCTATTGTACCTGGGAGAGCAGAGGAAGATGGCCTATTTTCTTTGGCCCCTGCACCCACATGGGAGACCTAGAAGAATCTCCTGGCTCCTGGCTCTGGATAGGTTCAGCAATGGTTATTGTGGCCATTTGGGGAATCAACCAGCAGATGAAACCTCTCTCTTTCCCTCTCGCTGTCTCTTCTCTCTCTCTCTCTCTCTCTTTTTATTTTTTGACATGCAGAGTGGACAGTGAGAGAGAGACAGAGAGAAAGGTCTTCCTTTACCATTGGTTCACCCTCCAATGGCCGCTGCGGACAGCGCACTGCGGCCGGCATAGCGCGCTGATCCAAAGGCAGGAGCCAGGTGCTTCTCCTGGTCTCCCATGGGGTGCAGGGCCCAAGCACTTGGGCCATCCTCCTCTGCACTCCTGGGCCACAGCAGAGAGCTGGCCTGGAAGAGGGGCAATCAGGACAGAATCCGGCACCCCGACAGGGACTAGAACCCGGTGTTCCTGACGCTGCAAGGCAGGAGGATTAGCCTAGTGAGATCAAAAACTGCACAACAACAAAACAAACAACCCACTTAAGAGAGATGGGCCAAGGACCTCAATAGATATTTTTCAAAACATGAAATCCAAATGGCCAACAGGCACATGAAAAAATGTTCAGGATCACTAGCATTCAGGGAAATGCAAATCAAAACCACAATGAGGTTTCACCTCACCCCAGTTAGAATGGCTCACATTCAGAAATCTACCAACAACAGATGCTGGCAAGGATGTGTGGGAAAAAGGGACACTAACCCACTTTTGTTGGGAATGCAAACTGGTTAAGCCACTGTGGAAGTCAGTCTGGAGATTCCTCAGAAACCTGAATATAACCTTTCCATGCCACCCAGCAATCCCACTCCTTGGAATTTACACAAATGAAATTAAATTGGCAAAGAAAAAAGCTGTCTGCACCATAATATTTATTGCAGCTCAATTCACAATAGCTAAGACCTGTAATCAACCTAAATGACCATAACAGTAGGCTGGATAAAGAAATTAAGGGACATGTACTGCATAGAATACTATACAGCAGTAAAAAAAAAAAAAGAAATCCAGTCATTGCCACAAAATGGAGGAATCTGGAAAACATCATGCTGAGTGAAATAAGCCAGTTTCAAAGGGACAAATATCATATGTTCTCTCTGATCAGTGACAACTAACCGAGCACCAAAAGGAAACCTGTTGAAGTGAAATGGACAATATGAGAAACACTGACTTGATCAGCCTTTTTCCTGACTGTCAAGGAAGAACTTACTATTTTATTCCTTTTAGTATTTTTTTATTCTACTTAATACCATTGGTTGAACTCTTTAATTAACACACAATTATTCTTAGGTGTTTAAATTTAACTGAAAAGTGATCCCTGTTAAATATAAGAGTGAGAATAAGAGGGGAAAATGTACAGTTAGGCACATTCTCAATAAGACTTGCCCCAAATGGTAGAGTTAGAAATGTGCCAGGGGATGCCAATTCAATCCCATCAAAGAGGCCTGTACCAATGCCATCTCACTAGTCAAAGTGATCCATTTCAGTTCACAATTGATCTTAATAATAGGATTAGGAGTCAAAGGGATCACCAAAACAAGACTAGTGTCTGCTAATACTAACTGATAGAATCAAAAAGGGAGAGAACAATCCAACATGGGAAGCGGGATACACAGCAGACTCAGAATGGCAGATGTCCTAAACAACACTCTGGCCTCAGAATCAGCCCTTAAGGCATTCCGATCTGGCTGAAGAGCCCATGAGAGTATTTTAGGCATGGAAAGCCAAGACACTCTGGCAAAAAACAAACAAACACACACATAAATGAACGGTCTCCGTGAGTGAGATCCCAGTGGAAAGAATGGGCCATCAAAAAGGAGGTACCTTTCTTTGAAGGGAGGAGAGAACTTCCACTTTAACTATGACCTTGTCTAAATAGGATCAGAGTCGGTGAATTCAAAAGGCTTCCATAGCCTTGGCAACTCATGACAAGAGCATAGGGAGATTACTGACTCCATAAACAAGAGTGTCAATTTGTTAAGTCAACAACAGGAGTCCCGGTGCACTTACTCCCCATGCAGGATCTCTGTCCTTAATGTGTTGTACAATGTGAATTAATGCTATAACTAGTACTCAAACACTTTGTGTTTCTGTGTGGCTACAAACTGTTGAAATTGTTACTTAATATATACTAAATTGATCTTCTGCATATAAAGAGAATTGAAAATGAATCTTGATGCGAATGGACTGGGAGAGGGAGCAGGAGATGGGAGGGTTGGAATGGAGGGAAATTATGGTGGGGGGGAAAGCCACTGTTATCCATAAGCTGTACTTTGGAAATTTATATTTGTTAAATAAAATTTTAAAAAAAGAAACTAAGAATGAAAACTGCTAAAGAAACCTGAAGGAAGATGATGGTACTGATGGTTGATGAACAAGGATATTATGGTAATTGATCAGAATGATAGAGTATTCATTTGTGAGATAAACATAGGCTAGTTGATTTGAATGAATGTGTAAATTTATAGCACAAATTTATTGAAAACATAAATCTAAGCACCCAAGAAACAAAACAGCCTACAAGTGAGATAAAGTCAAAGAGATCCACATTTAGACACATTGTAAGCAAGCTGATAACATATTAAGAAAGAAGTAGAATCTTGAAAACACAGACAATATTGACCCTAATAAAATTATGAGCTGGTTTTTCATCCCAAACCATGGAGGCAAGACAGCAACTGATGACATATTCATAATAGTGAAAGGAAAAGACAGGCAATCAAGAATTCTACATCCAGCAAGATTATCCTTTCAGAATGTATAAATTCACATTCTATTTTATATTTTAATAAATTCAAACAAATCTCTTGTATTTCATATATAGAGATTTAGGAACATAGTGACACTTCCCACCCTATCACCCCTCCTGCCCACACTCCCACCCTTTCTTCTCCTTCCTCTCCTAATCCATCTCTCAATTTTCACAATTATCTACTTTCAGTTTACTTTATATTCATAAGATTAACCCTACTCTAAGAGTTCAAGAAATAGGAAGGAGAAAAAATAAACACTGCTTCTCAACAGTAGAGACAAGGGATTTAGACAATCATTTTTATCTTTAACAAAATTGAGAGATTTTTCATTTGTAAACTAAATAAAAGCACAAGTGAACAATACATAGACAAACAGTATCAATGTATTTTTTTCACTATAACACCTTTTTTCATTTACATAAAGATAACGAGTCTTGGGCCAGTGCTGTGGCAGAGGTGGCTTAAGCCTGCAGTGTCACCATCCTATATGGGCATCAGTTGAGTCTTGGCTGCCCCTCTTCTGATCCAGATCTCTGCTATGGCCTGTAACTGCGTTTCAAATCAATAAGTAAATTTATAAAAACAACTAATCTGTTTGTACCCTTGAAGAATCAGCACCAATTGTGGCAAACCCTTCAAAAAGTAGCTGGGAACACTTCACTAAAACAATGAGGCAATACAATCTTCATATAAAAATCAAACATATCAAGCAACAGTAAAACAGTGTCCCTTATATTTATAAATAAAAATCTTCCACGAAAATTCTAGGAGACAGAATTAACATACAAAAAGGTATTATATATTATATACAAAATTGTATATATTAGTGTAATATCTTGGAATTTAAGGATCATTCAACATAAGAAAATCATCTAATATATCATAACAGAAAAACAAAAAACAAAGAAAAATCCAGGATCACCTCAAAAGACATAGAAAATTGTAAGACAAAACCCACACAATTATACGGAAGAACACTCAAACTCAGAAGAGCATCTTCCACAACATAATGCACAGTAGTGAAAGTGTCTGCATTTAACAGGATTACTCTGTTGAATTACATACTCTTAAATATGTTTGTTTTCTCTACTGGATTGTAAGTTTC